TGCTGAGGACATGGTTTTTGTGCTGTTTTATTTGTTATTCTGTATTGGGTTGGTTTTGTTTGTTTGTTTGTTTTTTAGCTTGTGTATTTTGAAACAAATTTACGGAAGAGTTATGAATACAATACCAACAACTTCTTTTCTGAACCATTCATTACTATGTTTGCATCTAAGGCTTCTGTCACCATCGGAAGCAGACCACCCCTTATCATTTATGCTGTGTCCAGAGCGATGTCAAATTCTAAAGCCACTTCTTCTCCCAGCACCTCACCTTCTGCCTACGCATCATCCCAGTTAAACACTGGGGGGAACATGTCATGACTTGGTCCATCTCACCTGCCATCCATTTGCAGCTATGAATGCTTACAGGCCCCAAAATGGACCTGGATCCGTCTACATCAGTGGTTCTTAACTGGCGGTGACTTTTCCCTCCCAGCCAACACTAGGCAAAGTCTGGAGACAATTCGGTTGTCATGGCTGGCATCTAGTGGGTGGAGACCAGGGATGCTGCTCAACAGGACGCCCCCACCCACTCTACACAAAGAACTATCCAGCCCTGGATGTTAACAGCACTGGTGGTGGAAAACCCTGCTTAAGGTCCAGTGTGTCTTGGCGTTCCTAGAGGACCTTTGTGGGCTTTAAGATGAACACACAACCCCATCAGACAGACAAAATAGAAGTGCTTCTCTCTCCCACGGGACAGAAACAAGAAAGCAAGTGGCCCCAGTGGGCAGCCATTTCCTGACTCCAAAGAGATCATATGTTTCCTCTACCTATTATAGCAAATTGTCATCACCTTTCTGGCTTTAAACCACATAAATGTATTCTCTTACAGTTCCAGAGGCCAGGAGTCCAAACTCAGGGTGTCAGGAGGGCCTTGCACCCCCCAGAGGCTCCAGGGCAGTCTACTTCTTGCCTTGGTGGGGTGGACTCCCGCTGTTCCTCTGTCTGGGGGCTCGTCATTCCTATCTCCGCCTTCCATCTTCACCTGCTTTCTCCTCTGCAATCTCTGTGTCTTCTCCTCTTCTCTCTCTGGTAAGGGCACTTATCACTGGATTTAGAGCCCACCCAGATAACCTAGGATGACCTCATCACAAGATCCTTAACTTCATAATATACATGAAGAAATTTTTTTTCTAAACTAGGTCCCATTCACGGGTACCAGGCGTTAGGGCGTGGGCATAACTTTTAGGGGGTCACCATTCAACCCACTACAGAGACCCAGCCTTGGAGTGAAGCTGACCCTGGTGATGGTCAAAGAGTCAAGCAAAAGGAATTTGGTAATGTGACAACATTACCAAACCCAAGCCTGTCCTAATACCCTTGAACCACTTCTATGAAATCGCTGGTGTGGCAAGCAAATACCACCCTAACTCACACCCTTCAGTATTCTCCATCACCAGCAGCCAGAGCATCCTGGCAGAATTCTCAAGCCCCAAAGAGCAGTGTGAGAAGTTCACACAGACTTGGTATTCTTTATGTGAAGGTCCAACCCCCAAAGCATCACCCTTTCAGGTTCACTTCCTCGGTCTGCTTATTACATTGCCACAATCTCCTGTCTGGGCGTCTGTGGGTTTTGAACGTGTTTTTAGATTGGTTTTTATCATCTTTCATCTATAAAGGATATAGCTGGGTATGTGAGCCACCTCAAAGCCTTCAGGAACATAGGTAAAGATGACAATAATTTGTGAGTCAACACTTGTAGTTCTTGAGGTTTCTCAGTTTCAGAAAGGAAGCGGACAACTGTCATAAGGGTTTATGGCCAGAGTCAGCCTGGAGCCACGTTGCAAGTGTTTACATAACAGAGGAGGCTTCCTTCCTTTCGTTTAGATCAGACCCCCAAAAAAACAGTGGGCTCCAGAACCAGACTTTAAATTCCAACTCATCTTCTTGCTAAGACACCCACGCGTAGCAGGAAGTTCCTGATAACATCTGCTCATTTCAAACTGATTAGCTTGCAAGCAACACCAGTAAAGCTGGGTCCACTTAATTTGAGCAGAAAGGAACCAATGGAAAGCATTCAGGGAAGTTCATAGTCATGAGAAAAGCCAAGGAA